CTAAGCATTGATTGGCCAGATTGTGACCTCTGACCCCAAAAGGTGCGTGCATGTTGATGATGTGATGTCGCACGCACGTTAGTGCCATCATGGTCGTAGACGGGGGCAAGTAATCTATTTAAAACGGAATTGCAGTGGCCGCCTTCTCTTAGAACTCTGCATCAGCTGGGGACCGATCCAGGTAATTCTTTATACTTTCAGCGTTACCACACTGATCAGTGTAAGAGTCGGGAGCAGTGACAGCCCCCTCATGTCTCATTATCCCAGCCCCCTCACGTGTCTCATTAACCCAGCCCCCTCACGTGTCGCATTATCCCAGCCCACTCGTGTCTCATTATCCCAGCATCCTCACGTGTCTCATTATCCAAGCCCCCTCATGTCTCATATTCCCAGCCCCCTCATGTGTTTCATTATCCCAGCCCACTCACGTGTCTCGTTATCCCAGCCCCCTCACGTGTCTCATTATGCCAGCCCCCTCACGTGTCTCATTATGCCAGCCCCCTCACGTGTCTCATTATCCTAGCCCCCTCACGTGTCTCATCATCACAGCCCCCTCATGTGTCTCAATGCATAGAAACATAGTAACATAGAATGTGACGGCAGATAAGAACCTTTGTGACATGCTAAAAGTACTAAACTTGTTGTTGCTGGAATCCAGACGCACCCTTATCTTTCCAACCTTGTGTTTAAAGGACCACTCTAGGCACCCAGACCACTTCAGCTTAATGAAGTGGTCTGGGTGCCAGGTCCAGCTAGGGTTAACCCATTTTTTCATAAACATAGCAGTTTCAGAGAAACTGCTATGTTTATGAATGGGTTAAGCCTTCCCCTATTTCCTCTAGCGGCTGTCTCATTGACAGCCACTAGAGGCGCTTGCGTGCTTCTCACTGTGATTTTCACAGTGAGAGCACGCCAGCGTCCATAGGAAAGCATTGTAAATGCTTTCCTATGAGACCGGCTGAATGCGCGCGCAGCTCTTGCCGCGCGTGCGCATTCAGCCGGCGGGGCGTAACGGAGGAGGAGAGGAGGCAGAGAGCTCTCCGCCCAGCGCTGGAAAAAGGTAAGTTTTAACCCCTTTCCCGAGCCGAGGGGGTCGAGTATGTTTTCCTGGCACTATAGTGGTCCTTTAAGAGCTTTTCTGGGAAGCTCCCGCCCTACCTGAGCAGAATGCTCTCCCTAGCTGTTCCCACCTCCTATAACCTCCGATCCAGTACCAGCACTTTATTTAGTCTACCTCAATACAAAAAGAAAGCAAAGAAAAACAAGTTACCTGCCCTCTCTCCTTAATCCCTATGTATTTTTAAACAAATGGAGGTTTTTTTAGTTACCTCCAATGGCCATGAGAGGAGAGGATAAGCCCACCTGCCAACGTCAAGGCAGACCTCCCCAGGTGGGTCCTAATACTAACCACCTCCCGCACACTTTTAAATCTTCCCCAAGCCTAAAGTCCTTTAACCCCTTCAGGACGGGTGACGGACGAGGTCCGTCACAGAGGGGAGACCCTTAACGACGGGTGACGGACCGCGGCGATCGCGGGGTTAATGGTGCTCCAGGTATGCCTCTGCATTAGAGGCATACCGGGAGCACCCGGTCAGTCTGCCCAGCACATGTGCTCGCTCTGACCGCAAGTCTGAGCGAGCACATGTGCTCTCTATACTCACCTACCGGCTCCCTGCACTTCCGGGTTCTGTGTGAAGTGCAGGGAGCCGGATCAGTGCTGATCCTGCCCCCTGCTGTAAAAAAAAATAAAGTTTATTTAAAGTCCCCCCCCCTTACCCATTTTAATAAAAAATTAACCCCTTCCCTGCCAATTGATCACTGACTACAGTGATCAATTGGCAGGGATTACATTTTACTATGATCTGAATTTTTTTTTTTAACCCCTGAGGGTTAATTCTTTTTTTTTTTAACCCTCAGGGGTTAAATTAATTAAATTAATTAATTAAATTATTTTTTAATTATATGTTTAGCTAGCTGGGGTAGGTGGAAGTTAGTGGGGAATTGGGGGATTTGGCGTTAGGCTAACTAGGGGTTAACGTTAAAAGTTTTAAAAGAAACTTTAAAAAGTTAAAAATTAAGCTTAAAAAAATGTTTTAATAACATTTAAGTAAAAAAAACAAAAAAACACACTTTACCTAGTCCAAATAAAAATTAACCCCTTCCCTGCCAGTCGATCACTGCCTACAGCGATCAAATAGAGATCACAGTATTATACTGTGATCTAATTTTTTTTAACCCCTGAGGATTAACTTTTATTTATTTTTTAACCCTCAGGGGTTCAATTTATTTAATTAATTAATTTAAATATTTTATAACTATATATTTTGCTAGCTGGGGTGGGTGGGAGTTATGGGAAAATGGGGAATTTACTGTTAGTGCTGCGTACTGCTAGTTAGGGGTTAACAGTAAAAAAAATAGCTTAGAAAAATGTTAAATCTGTAAAAAAGTTTTAAGAAAGTTTAGGAAAGTTTAAAAAAAATTTATAAGCAAAACAAAAGTTTAAAAACTAGTTTTTAAAAGTAAAAAAGTTATAAAAAGTAAAAAAATACATTTTAAAAACGCTCATTACCACTACACCTGGAGCAAACTAGAGAAAAAATTATCCCACGCCAAGGTTCAAAATATGCCTTTTGAATTATCCCAGGGTGTATTCTTTAATAAATAGTATGTGTTTGTGGGGAAGTTTCAATAACCAACCGTCTAAACTACTCCAAATTGGAACATGGACACAGCGTAAAACTTCAAAGTTAGAAAAAAACTGAATGGCTGCGTCTCAAATGCGCCCCTTCAACATCCACATATACCTGGCAAAGGTACATACGGGGGTATTGCTGTACTCAGCCGACATAGCTGAGCAATATATGAAGTATTATACAGTCATAGCACACATAAGGTTTGCAAAATATGCTGCGCAAACTCACTTTGTATGTCAAAAAGGCAGAAAAAATGCTTATTACCACTACACTTGGTACAAGCTAGCGGAAAAATGATCCCACGCTAAGGTTCAAAATATGCCTTTTGAAATACCCTGGGATGTCTTCTTTAAGAAATGGTATGGCTTTATGGGGAATTTGGATTATATAGCCTGGTAAAATACTCTAAAATGGGACATAGGCACAGCATAAAAATTCAAAGTTTGAAAAAAACTGGAATGGCTGTGTCCCAAATGTGCCCCTCCGATGTCCACACATACCTGGCAAAGGTACATACGGGGGTATTGCTGTACTCAGCCGACATAGCTGAGCAACATATGAAGTATTATACAGTCGTAGCACACATAAGGTTTGCAAAATATACTGTGCAAACTCACTTTGTATGTCAAAAAGGCAGAAAAAACGCTTATTACCACTACATCTGGTACAAGCTAGCGGAAAAATGATCCCACGCTAAGGTTCAAACTATACCTTTTGAAACACCCTGGGGTGTCTACTTTAAGAAATGGTAGGCCTTTGTGGGGTAGTTTGAATTTAAAACCTGCGAAGATGCTTGGAAATTGCACATAGGCCCAGCGTCAAAATTCAAAGTTTGGTAAAAACGGATATGGCTTGGTCTCCTATATGGCACTGTAGCTTCACGAAATAGTGCCAAAGACATTCATATGGGGTGTCATTTTACTCAGAAGACTTAGCTGAGCATAATTTGGGGGTTTGAACTTAGTGGCACATATGAAATATACAAAACGCCCAGCAAAAATGCAATCCGTATGTAAAAAATGCACAAAATTATTTTTTACCACATACTTTGGCATATATTGGTGAAAAAATGGGGGCATGTTAAGGCACAATATGCACCTTATAAGATACCCTGGAGTGTCTACTTTTACAAATGGTAGGCCTTTGTGGGGGTTTTTTGAACAGTCAAACTGTTATAATACCCCAAATGGAAGCTAAGGCTCATTAAATTCATCTCTCAAAATTCTACTGTGAATACTGAAAAGGACAGGTATCCTGTATGGCACTGTAACTTCACGAAATAGTGCAAAAGACATACAATGGGGGTGTCATTTTACTCAGCAGATGTAACTGAACACAAAATAAAACTTTGTACAGGAATAGCACACACCAACTTTACAAAATATACACGAGAATTTCTCTGTTATAAGTTTGTGTGCCAAAAACCAAAAAGAACACAATTTTACTCCAATATTTAGCAGAGGTTGGCGGTGAAATGGCTACGTAGAAAGTGTCAAAACAACCTTAGGTAAATAGCCCGTGATGTCTACTTTATATAAATATATACTTTTGTGTGGCAATTTTGTTTTCTTTTATGGCTATTAAGCTTACAAGACAAACATACCAAATTCTAAAATGCTCCACATTAAAAGTTTATTTTACTCCTTGTGCTTTGTGACCTGTAACTACCAAAAAAAACTTAAAATCCCAGACACATTATATATTCTGTAAATCAGAACAAATAAATAAATTTATTTTTAATTACTTTCCTTAACCTGCACTAATTATGCACACATTATTATTGCAAAAACTGTAAAAAAAAAACAATATTTTTCATTTTTTTGCATTTTTCTGTATTTTTTTTATAATAAGTAAGCATTTATATATATATGTTATATCAAATTAAAGCCCTTTCTGTCCTTTAAAAAACAGTATATAATATGTGTCGGTGCAATAAATGAGAGAGATGCAAATTGCAGTTGAACGCAAACAGCAAGAAAATGCATAAATTGCTTGTGTCATTAAGCGTAAGTCAAGCTTCTGAAGCTGTGTCCTTAAGGGGTTAAGAGATCCCTCTCTACATATCTCAAAACAGAATGCACATGTCATGTGTGATTGTATATTTCCTACCTGTTCTATGTTAAATTTTGTATTTGTGTATTAATATTGTTTTTGTATTTTATTGTACCCTAATGTAACAATGCAATGATTTGTGGACCCAGGACATACTTGGAAACAAGAGAAATCTCAATGTATCTTTCCTGGTAAAATATTTTATAAATAAATAAAATAAATAGCTTTAGTCATAGTCTTTTGACTAAAATGCCGTTTCAGTCGTACTTTAGTCATCTGAATTGTTTCAGTCCATTAAATCTCCAAAATTATAGCTGTCTAAATCCTTCGAATATGGATATTTGGTGAAATTAACCCTGCTTGGGGGTATAGATTGTTTTAATGCTCCTCCTTTAGTTCACTTCATGTGAGCTGTGATTAAAATGAACATTTAGTGTGTGTCCCCTTTCTTCAAGCCTGCAGGTCCATTGCAGGGTTCAGTTAGTGCCAGCCAGTGTCATGGCACCCGGAAGTAAGAGTCAGCACTTGTCTCTAGTGCTTACAGCTCAATGCGGCCGTGACGTCACTCCGATCGCGCCCCTCCCGCGCCTGCGCAGTGAGCCGGAGGAAGCAGCAATCTGATGCAACCGGCTGACAGTGTGAGCAGAATAGCCATGAGTGCGGAGATCAGCGAGGGCACCGCTCAGCTCCGGCTCGGTGAGGATCTATACACTATATTCAGCAGCTGTCATAGAGCTTCTATTATTGTAGCCTGGCAGGTCTGTCTGCTGTAATACAGGGAGGTAGTGACAGCTGGGACACTATCACACAGTGTGCCATATGTATGATTGGCTATAGGGAGTGTGCCATATGTAGGAAAGAGGGAGGGGAGTGTGCCATATGTATGATTAGCTATAGGGAGTGTGCCATATGTAGGAGAGGGAGGGGAGTGTGCCATATGTATGATTAGCTATAGGGAGTGTGCCATATGTAGGAGAGGGAGGGGAGTGTGCCATATGTATGATTAGCTATAGGGAGTGTGCCATATGTAGGAGAGGGAGGGGAGTGTGCCATATGTATGAGTAGCTATAGGGAGTGTGCCATATGTAGGAGAGGGAGGGGAGTGTGCCATATGTATGATTAGCTATAGGGAGTGTGCCATATGTAGGAGAGGGAGGGGAGTGTGCCATATGTATGATTGGCTATAGGGAGTGTGCCATATGTAGGAGAGGGAGGGGAGTGTGCCATATGTATGATTGGCTATAGGGAGTGTGCCATATGTAGGAAAGAGGGAGGGGAGTGTGCCATATGTATGATTGGCTATAGGGAGTGTGCCATATGTAGGAAAGAGGGAGGGGAGTGTGCCATATGTATGATTGGCTATAGGGAGTGTGCCATATGTAGGAAAGAGGGAGGGGAGTGTGCCATATGTATGATTAGCTATAGGGAGTGTGCCATATGTAGGAAAGAGGGAGGGGAGTGTGCCATATGTATGATTGGCTATAGGGAGTGTGCCATATGTAGGAAAGAGGGAGGGGAGTGTGCCATATGTATGATTGGCTATAGGGAGTGTGCCATATGTAGGAAAGAGGGAGGGGAGTGTGCCATATGTATGATTGGCTATAGGGAGTGTGCCATATGTAGGAAAGAGGGAGGGGAGTGTGCCATATGTATGATTGGCTATAGGGAGTGTGCCATATGTAGGAAAGAGGGAGGGGAGTGTGCCATATGTATGATTAGCTATAGGGAGTGTGCCATATGTAGGAAAGAGGGAGGGGAGTGTGCCATATGTATGATTAGCTACAGGGAATGTGTCATATGTATGATTAGCTACAGGGAGTGTGCCATATGTAGGATTAGCTATAGGGAGTGTGCCATATGTAGGAAAGAGGGAGGGGAGTGTGCCATATGTATGACTAGCTATAGACAGTGTGCCATATGTATGATTAGCTATAGACAGTGTGCCAGACAGACCCCCCTACACACACACACCCAGACAGACCCCCCCCATACACACACACACCCAGACAGACCACCCCCCATACACACACACACAGACAGACCCCCATACACACACACACCCAGACAGACCCCCATGCACACATACACACCCACCCAGACAGACCCCCACACACACACACACACCCAGACAGACCCCCCCACACACACACACACCCAGACAGACCCCCACGCACACCCACACCCAGACAGACCCCCACCCACCCAGACAGACCCCACACACACACCCAGACAGACCCCCCACACACACACACCCCAGACAGACCCCCCACACACACACACACCCACCCAGACAGACTCCCCCCTTTACACCCACCCAGACAGACTCCCCAGCACACACCCACCCCAGACAGACTCCCCCGCACACCACCCAGACAGACTCCCCCGCACACACACACAGACAGACTCCCCCGCACACACCCACCCAGACAGACTCCCCAGCACACACCCACCCAGACAGACCCCCACACACATACACCCAGAGACAGACCCCCAGCACACACACACACACCCAGACAGACCCACCACACACACACCCCAGACAGACCCCTCCACACACACACGCCCCACCACACACACCCCCAGACAGACCCCTCCACACACCCCCAGACAGACCCCTCCATAAACACTGACAGACACACATTCACAGAGACATACACACTGACAAACACACTCTCACACAGTCACAAAGTATTATTTGATACACTCAAATGGATACACACACAAACAGGCATAACAGATATACACACATAAATTAAAAAAAACAAAAACATATTTTTTGCCACCCTCCTGTTTCCTACCTTTTGGGCCCAGGTGGGTGGCTTTCCTGGGATCCAGTGGGACTGGGCAGGAGCAAATAACAATATGTTAGTGGGGGCAGGCTGCGGCAGTTGTTCCAGACTCCTCCTCCTTCAGTCTCCTTAGCCCCCATGCAGATCTCTGTGTGCCGGGAGGAAGTGAAGGGAACTGTAATTACTTCCTCCTGGCGCGCAAGGGTAAGGGCGGGCAGCCGGCTCTACTTAAAGGGGCGGGCTGGAGGGCCGGCTTTGAGGGATGTGCGTGGCTAGGCCGGCTCTGAGGTATGCGGATGGCCGGGCTGGCCCTAAGGTCCAGCTTTGCTCAGTGTGGGTGGGCGGGCTCGGGAGAATGCGGGCGGCAAGCTGTCAGTCTTTAAATGCTGCCCTTCAAGCTTGCAGTTTCCCTGTGGGAGGATAGAGGGAACGGGCCGACCAATCCCAGACGCCAGGGCAAAATTCTTAGTCGCCACGGCGACCTTGCGCCTGGTATTTGTCGAGCCCTGTTATAGAATCTACATAAAAATTATTAACATATGAGTATTATTAAGTAACAAACTACATAAACATATGTATATCTTCTAGACCAGCTTTGGTCACCTTTAAAACAAAGTATCATAGGATCAACTATAGTTCCATTCATATTTTAAGCTTGACAGTCATTTAAAAACCTTCTGTTAAAAGATGCATGGGTGTGTGCTGCTAAGCATGGTTTATAATAATAAAACATTCTGATAACAATTAGGTGTTTGGGTATTTTGCGTGAGCTTTTTTTCTCTTCATTTTATGTGGCAGAGAGCCTGTTACCTCACTTGCTGAAAGGGCTTGTGGTTAAAATCTTTCATAGATCAATATTTTGATGTAAAATAGACTCCTGTGGCAACCAACATAATAATTGTATGTAGAAATATCTAGCCTCTGTCGCCGTATGTTCTTGTGGAAATATGTAAAACATAATTACAGGGGTATTTCACTTTTCAACCACCTGACATGGCATTTATGTAATCTGTTTTTTGTTTTTATTATTATTTGTAGAGACAAGTGTGAATTATCAGGAATTCAAAGTGATATCACAAGAGGCAGGTTAACTCTGCAATGAGGACATTGCCATTTCTGCAGAATGTTAATGTTTACATCTGCAGTGTTAAAGGACCACTATAGGCACCCAGACCACTTCAGCTTAATCAGAGAAACTGCTATGTTTATAATAGGGTTAATCCAGCCTCCAGTGGCTGTCTCTTGCGTGCTTCTCACTGTGAAAATCCTATGGACTGGCTGAATGCGCGCGTGGCGCTTGCCGCGCATGCGCATTCAGCCGAAGAGCAGGAGAGCTCCTCGCCCGGTGCTGGAAAAAGAGGTAATTTTAACCCCTTCCTCTCTCCAGAGCCCGGCGGGAGGGGGTCCCTGAGGGTGGGGGCACCCTCAGGGCACTATAGTGCCAGGAAAACGAGTATGTTTTCCTGGCACTGTAGTGGTCCTTTAAATGGGGTACACATGGCACCCAGACCACTTCAATGAATTGCCCCAAACAACTTATGCTCATTAGATTGAACATAAGATTTTTTTTTTTATGTACATTGTGATAACAAATGTGTAAATTAGGAGAAGGAACAATTTAAAAATAGGTTTTTCCCCTAGCTGTCCGTAAATGCCACGGCGTTCCGCCTTCCACAAGAGAGCCCTCTGCTCTCCTCTCATAGCAACCACAGTGCGTGTGCTATAGCTGTTATGGAAACTCCCTACCCGGTGCTCTACTAAGCAGAGCTCACTAATGAGTGTCAGCTGAGCATTCTAGCCACTGAGTGCAGTACAGTATCAGGCTGCGGTGGCCTACTTATGTGATGTCATCTGTGCTCCTCTATGAGGAGCATTGGGGACCATAGGCGCGTGCGCTGTGCTCACCATAATTCTGCCATAGAGAATTATGGAATGCAATTAATTCTCTATGGCAGACTGACGGCACTGCGCATGACATCAAGGCATGAGAACCGGGAAGTAACCCGCACTTCTAAGCCTTAAAACTATTAAAGTAAATGTTTTGGGGGTAGGACTGAAGGCACTTTTACTACTTCAGTAAGATTAAGTTGTTATAGTGCCTTCCTTTAAACAGCTTTACTACTTCTGGCTCAGCACTTATCAACTGAATATTATGATTGGATCATTGCTATTTTAAGATGGTTGTCATTGCTGCAATGCTATTAATTTGGAAATAGCTCAGTTAAATTTCCCTTTGACATAAAAAAAAGATGACCCTAATATTACTGTAGGGTTTGGGGGGTATTTAGGTTCTTCCATGGTTTGATAGGGTTAAAGAAATTTTTGTGTCCACCTGCTATGGTTCAGAGAAAATTACTATATATTTTTTTCTCCTGCAGACGTGCTGCCCTGAAGTTGACCGTTTATGATAAATGCATAGAAATTTGCTTTCACTTTCAAGTCAAATCATAGTGAAACTGTCTTTTAACAATTTCATGTTTTAAATCGTACAGCTCCTTTGCCATTCTTAAACTTGGAAGGCACCATGGAAGTTGTAGTACTGAAACAGGGGATATACCTTTTGGCCACCTCTGGTTAAAGGAACACTGTAGGGTCAGGAACACTGTAGCGAAGTAGCAGGGGTTAGTCCAAGGATTCTCCGTTGGAAACAAAGATTCAGCATACAGAAGTATAAAAACACAGCATAATCCCTCTGCCCAAGGACTAGACGACACATAGTCTGGGAGTCAACTGGCTTTTAATGCACAAGCTCTGCTTTTATGTGTTTTTCCCATGCAAGGGAGGCAACTTCCATAATTATTACAGTACCCAATCATATAGTCGGTACCTCCCCCACATTTCCTCCCCTTAGCTTAACAGTTAAACTTATTAAAATGTACACATTTTTCCCCAATTCTTGGATGTACCCCAAATACAAGGGGTACACCTTTAAATGAGGGTTCCCCTGGCAGCCCTGATCTGGGTGAGAAACATACTCAAAAATCACCCAGATCGGACCAGGGGTTCGGGAGTTATTGAAGGGAAAAGGTTTGACCGACCGCACGGGCACAGTAGCCGAAAATAGTTTCATGAGTTCTGGCCCTGCGGTCGGTCTCAGTTCACGTATAAAAAGTCCCGAAAGTCTTCTCCATCCATGCTTGACTTTGCATTCGGATGAATCCCCTCGTTTGCGGGATTCATCCTACCGAATGCTGGGCTGTTTGTGTGTTTTATTCGTCCCTTTCCGGAGTGCTGGATGTCTTAGCGGTGCTTGGTTAGTAGAGTGTCCGATTTGAGTTCCAGACACTCGACGACCAAACACCGCTGTTCGTGCGTAAGATGGCCGCCGCCACGTGTTCGGCAGGCGAATGGGGGCCGCACACGAACCTCAATTACCAGCCTTTGCAACATTGTTGCCTTCGGTAATGAGGGACACACTACTACACCGGGGCGGTCCCTCATTCGGTATTTTACACATTTTCGTGAATAATGCAATGGATGTAGTTCGTGAACCGATTGCCTGAAGATAACCGTCCTAATAGCAATACATCCATTTTAATCCAAGTTCATTCGAATCTCGAAAGTCCTTTCTCAGTCTCTTGGTGGCTAGGTTTGCCACAAACATGTATTTCTGACCCTTTAGTGTTAAAACACCATCTGGACACCCTTTACCCCCAAACTATAGTAAAATCTGTATTCTAGTCTGCTGCTAATGGCTCTGCCCCTGATCTGACTTCTTGGCTGACATAATCTGAGACAATTACAATGCTTTCCAATAGGAAATCATTGGCATGGCTGATATTCTCAAGAAAGCAGATCAGGGCAGAGTCAGCACAAGCCAAACACAGCCCTGGTCAATCAGTGCAATGCATCTCTATAAGGAAAGTTCAGTGTCTCCATTCAGTGTCTCCATTCAGAGGGTGGAGACACTGAATGTCAGTGCTGCACAATGTGCAGCACTGCCCCAGGAGGCACCTCTAGTATCCATCTGAGTATTGGCCAATGGACTTATCCCTAGGCTGTAATGTAAACATTGCTTTCTTTCTACAAAGACCGTGTTTTACAGCAAAAAAGCTGAAGTGACAGATTATACTCACCAGAACAAATACAATAAGCTGTAGTTGTTCTGTTGACTATAGTGTTAATTTAATTAAAGCAGTAGAATTATTTGCCATAGCCTGGTCCTTAAAGCGGATCTGTCAATTTTGGGAGTTTTTGCATGTTTTGAGATCTATGGAGGAGAGCGTGGGACCCTCGACAGACGAATCCTGAATCCCACAGTCCGAATTTGTGAAGGCTGCTGGCTGGGATTGGCAAAAGGTTGACAGAGGAGCTCCTTTTGTAACCTCAGGCTTTACCATAATACAAAGCAGTCCCCACTTTCTCATTGTAATTTTGGGTTCCATTGAAATCTCAGCTCAGTCTTGATTCGTATTTCATATAGAGGATATCTTTATAAAATACTGAAAAGTGATGGATCTGTCAATGCTTGACAAATGGGAGCTAAGTGAAGTCATTTGTGATAACCTTTATCCAGTCAGATGCTTCTCATTGTGCTGCATTTTTTTATGCTGTGCATGATCATGCTGAAAGTGAAGTTCTTTAAAAATCAAAGGAAGTGAAGGAGGAAGTTGCTTTTGTGTCAATCAAGTTGAAAGTGTTTTCTGCAAAATGTAAACTTTATCATTTCTCAGAAACGATCAAAGAAAAGGGGCAAAGTCTATGTCCCAAAACTCTAAAGTAGGATGTCGGAACCCTTTCTGTTTGTAGTCATTCTTTGTACATATTGTGTATATGTTCCTCTATAAGAAACGTTCACATTCCCTTTTCTAATGTCACACTGATATATTACACACTAGTAGCTGGTATCTAGTGTGAGTCTGAATGACTTTACTGGAACATGTATGCTCTGTTAGTTATGGAAGAAATGCATTAAAGATGCTGTTTGCTAAGGTACAATTGGCACATATACATAGTAATGCATATTAACTCCAGGCACCCAGACCACTTCTGCCCATTGAAGTGGTCTGGGTGCCAACTCCCACTACCCATAACCCTGCAAGTGTAATTATTGCAGTTTTTTATAACCTTGCAGGGTTAACTCCACCTCTAGTAGAATTATACTAGACAGCCACTAGAGGGCACTTCCTGCTCTATAGCACAGAAAACCTGTGCTAGAGCGTCGCTGGACGTCCTCGTGCTCTGTGAGGACCTCCAGCGTTGCTCAATTCCCCATAGGAACGCATTGAAAAGCATTATCAATGCTTTCCTATGGGGAGCTCTAATGCACATGCGCGGCATTGCCGCGCATGCGCATTAGGTCTCCCCGGCTGGTGGGCGGGATCAGTCTCGCCCACCGATCGACGTAATGACTGGGATGAGCGGCGGCGAGAAGAAACCAGCGCCTAGGGACATCGGCGGGGTCTCGGTTAAGTGAACTGAAGGGGTTTTCACCCCTTCAGCAACCGGGGATTGGGAGGTGGGAGGGGGAGGGGACCTGCTGCAGTGCCAGGAAAATGGATTGTTTTCCTGGCACTGGAGTTTCCCTTTAATCAAGCACCTAAAAAAAGCTCCACACAAAGTAAACACATTGTTTAATCCAATACATTTCACACAGTAATTTAATATTAGTATTTGGTCAATTAACATTAAAAAATAAATGATCATTTTAACAATGCTTTGTTTTCATAGACGAAATGTACATTTCTGACCGAGAGGGAAGCGATGAAACCGGGGATGGAACTAAGGAAAAACCATTTAAAACGGTTCTCAAGGTACTTTGTAATTAACATGTCTTATTAATTGTGCTGTTGTGACCATGTATAAGAAATATATTCATACTTAAAGTATTTTTTACTGGTTATTACCCATAGCAGTGTAAACCATTCGCTAGGTCCTCTCCTCGCTTCTAATACAACACGAAACGTTCTGGATTACAAAGATATATTTATAAGCACATCGTGGATATGTGTTCTCCAGGTTTTGAATATAGCAACCAAAAAGAGAATTATAGTTAATATGAATAACGTTTCCTTATTCCTGGCAAAATAAGCAAGAACTACTAGCACAGCTTTCGATTACAATTTTTTTTAATGACTATGTTGAAGTAAGTGGCAAGTTGTGTTCTGTTCCTAAGGGATGAATTGCAGAAATCCCTCGTCTAAAAAAGTGACCCTGCATTAGGCCATTAAGATGGCCTCAGAGTGACCAGCGAGTAGTAGCTGGTGAACAAAGGGTTAAATATATTTGTATTTAAGAATTAATTATGTTTGGTATCTAACAGTTTTACTAATTTACTTTTTGCTAACACTTGTGCTGTTGGTATAAGGTTTATGACGCATCACTTATTGTTTATCTGTTTTGTAATTCTGTGACTGCAAACCCACTCTTTTGTTTTTTTGTTTAAAGGGACACTATAGTCACCTGAACAACTTTAGCTTAATGAAGCAGTTTTGGTGTATAGAACATGCCCCTGCAGCCTCACTGCCCAATCCTCTGCCATTTAGGAGTTAAATCCCTTTGTTTATGAACCCTAGTCACACCTCCCTGCATGTGACTTGCACAGCCTTCCATAAACACTTCCTGTAAAGAGAGCCCTATTTAGGCTTTCTTTATTGCAAGTTCTGTTTAATTAAGATTTTCTTATCCCCTGCTATGTTAATAGCTTGCTAGACCCTGCAAGAGCCTCCTGTATGTTATTAAAGTTCAATTTAGAGATTGGGATACAATTATTTAAGGTAAATTACATCTGTTTGAAAGTGAAACCAGTTTTTTGTTTTCATGCAGGCTCTGTCAATCATAGCTAGGTGAGGTGTGGCTAGGGCTGCATAAACAGAAACAAAGTCATTTAACTCCTAAATGATAGTGAATTGAGCAGTGAAATTGCAGGGGAATGATCTATACACTAAAACTGCTTTATTTAGCTATAGTAATTTAGGTGACTATAGTGTTCCTTTAATTATTTAAAAAATAATAAAATAAATGTAACTCCTCTCATTGCAGAATTCCACATGATTAGTTTACCCTCAGTTTGTCTAGAGTGTATTTGATATCTTCTGCTGGTGTTATTCCGTCTTGTCGGCATAGAAAAATGACTTATATTTTGTTGCTCTTGTTTCAAGGCAATGCTGACAGTTGGTAAAGAGCCATTTCCTACATTCTACGTGGACTCACAGAAAGAAAATGAGGTTGTATGGCCAGTTATAACTCCTGATGTATTTATTTCAATATTAAGCGTTCTAGCTATTAAATGAGAGATCTGATATATGTATATATTGTCATACTGACTGAGCACACCCTACATGCTAAGAATGAGCTGTAGGCCTCGCTGCTTTTCCTTCAAACGCCTTTGTCACGTGAGCTTATGGACAGTTTGCATTTAGCTGAGCACACTGACAGCGAAGTATCAGGAACTAAAAGCCATAATATCCCCTAGCCTTTGCAGTATAGAATTTGTTTACCTGTAATTCTGAAACCTTCAGTCAGCTGTTACTTCTCTTAAAAATCAAAACGAGGAAGGCAAATTATCTTCATTCCACAATTCGCAAATCATAGGGATGCTGCAAGGATACACTGTAAGCATCAGATGTGCTTACAGCTCTAGGCAGTTAGTGCTGCCATGTGTTCATATACTCATAGCTTCTTCATACTTGTGAGCAGTACCTGAAAAGTATATGTAGCAGTTGTAAGCCTCAGAGGCAAATCTATAAATAATGCTCTGTTTGATACATCCTTGTTTAATTGATTTCCTCCGTACACCATTATTGTTTGACATAATGCAGGGCAGCACTTTTCAAGCTCTGCCTGACAGAATCAAGAGGTTACATATGTTTAGGAAATGTGGATGGATCTGTCAACCTGGTGTGCAGTGGGCCATAGCCAGGGACATGCATTTTCCCAGTTACATTGACATGTTGATTGCAGCTATATTATATTACTCCATATAAGGAAAATAAAGAAACTATTAGCAATAAGTGTTTCTTTTTTTTGTTTTCCCCCACTTTATTCATTATTTGTATAATAAGGTTGGTTTGCACAAGATTCTTTTCCCTGAAGCCATTATTTTTTTGGGGGGCAAATGCAGCCTCTGTATTAGTGTTTTACCAACGATTAATAATGTATCTCCTATCTAGGTTGTCGTTTTATGTTAAAGTAAAAGTTGACAATGTAATTCATGGATAATGTTCTCATCCATATAAAAATTGATTATAACGGTTACTGTAATGTAATGTCTGCAAAATATAAGGATGGAAGGGGATCTTCCTAAATGTTGTGTGAATCTTCATTGCAGAGATGGGATGTGATTTCCAAGTCACAGCTGAAAAATGTGAAAAAGCTCTTTAACCGGGAACAGATGAAGACTGAAGCAAAGGAAAAGAGAGAGGTCAGATTGTGTGCTCATATGTTGGCACTGCTAAACTATATCTTGAATGGGAGCCACAGAGGGCACTGTGCTGATAATCACTTTTGTTGTTTTCATGCAGGCAGAAGACAACTTGAGACGTGAAAAGAATTTGGAAGACGCAAAGAAAATTGAAATCCAGAATGACCCTAGTCTCCCAACACCAACAGCAGTAAGCAGTATGCCTTTTGGTTCCTGTGTAAAGAGGAGTGTAACTAAAAGACAATATTGCCTATGTCAAAGAGGTGGTGTGTTGCCCTCACCATGTTTCTTATAGCTTTATGCAGAGCAGAACATTTAAAGTGGCTTTGTCATCAGAAATGCACTGTGCATCACCATAAAGCATTTGAAAAACTGTTGATAATTTTTCAGCTCGTTCAGATTTCAGATTAATCATAAATGGAAAGTTTTCACAGAAACACAAGAACTCTGCAGCTTTAGCAGTTTTATGCAAGTCTGGTACATGTAACTGTTTGTGCAAGTAAAAGTGTGGTTTATGCAAATCAAAACTTATCCTTTAACCACAGGCTAAGATCCGTGAATTGGAAGCATATCGAGGCCAGAGAGTGAAAGTGTTTGGCTGGGTACACAGGTTGCGTAGACAAGGTATTCTAAAACGTTCTTATCTCTCCAGCATTTTGATTTTATAATTAGAATGTATTCATTAACACCTTCACTACAGAGTACTTTTGGATTGTAAAAATATTACCATAAGTTGTCTTGGAAACAAGGGATGCATAGCTAGCATACAAACATAACATAACAATTTTGGGAATATATTGCTTTGGTGCCGAAATATAAAGATTTTTATTTTTACAATTTTTATTTTTCACTTATATGTTTAGCCTTCGTAAAAAATAATTTTAACACGAAAAGCTTTAGACGGTATACAGTGTCCTTTATCTTGCAATATTTCACACCGAGTCTGAACTGCTGGTAGTGGAAGCAAAAAGCATTTTCCCCGACGTACACAACTGCAAAGTATTGTATTAAAGGGCTAAAAGTTTAGGACCGCTGCACCCAGTCCATGTCATTGAGATGAAGTGATCTGGTGACTTTAGTGATCCTTTAAATCTCGGAGTTCTGGTGTGCTGCGTGTCTTGCATGTGATTTATATTTGACTTCCCTTTAGTACTTGAGGGTATCAGAACCAGCCGTAGCTCTTTGTAAGCCAGGATTTGATTGTTTTGAGGTCAAGAAGTAGATAACATTTCTACTAGTGGTTCCTGAAGTGCTGCAGTATTGGCTATAGCAACACTGCAGTGTATGGATAAACCGCTGCTGATTTGTTATACTTCCTGAAGGCTTATGTTGCTATTATAGAAATGTAGAGCACTCATTATTTTCCATCATTGCTGTTTGTGCAATAGTCGCTGCAAATGTAATGGCAACATTTTAATTATTTTATCACAGTTTTTTTTCTCAATGTTTTCTAATTTGTTCTAGGGAAGAACTTGATGTTCCTTGTATTAAGAGACGGCACTGGATTTCTACAATGTGTTCTGAATGACCAGTTGGTAAGTTCACACACAAAGTCATAACTTTATCACAATCTGAGCTGCAGATACATGATTTAATTTTTGAATTTAATGAATTTAATTTTTTTTTATGTATGCTTAAATCAATGTAAAATTTAGCACAATATATTTAAAATACCTTTATTAGGGACTATGGGATGTCCTTAATATGGTGCAGCACATTTGTATTGGGATTATTGAATGTTTAGTGGTGCAGACACTGTTTGTAATTTAAAGTAACACTATAGGGTCAGGAACACAAACATGTATTCCTGACCCTGTAGTGCAAAACCCACCAGTAATGTGGCTTGCCCCCTCCCCCGAGAGTATGAAAAACTCACCTTATTTCCAGCGCCGTGTGGGACTGCTGGCACTGGCACTGGCCCTGACCCCCTTGGTGACATCATCAGAATTGCAGATTTTTAGCCAATCCAATGCGTCCCATGGGGAGAGCATTGGATTGGCTAAAATCGTCATAGGGTGGGGCCAAATGCTGTTTTGGCCAATCAGCACCTCATAAAGATGCATTGAATCAGTGCATCTCTATGAGGAAAATTCAGCATCACCATGCAGAGCGTGGAGACGCTAAACAGCAGAGCTGTCTAATGTACAGCCCTGAGCCAGGAAGCACCTCGAGTGGCCGCTTGGATGTGTCCCTAGGGGCAATGTAAACACAGCCTTTCCTCTGAAAAGGCAGTGTTTGCATGAAAATGCCTGCATATAATGATTATACTCACCAGAACTACATTAAGCTGTAGTTGTTCTGATGACTATAGTGTCCCTTTAAATACACCATGTTACAGGTATTAGCAGCATGTTTCATTCCTCTTTTTTCCCACACCAGTCCCCTGTTTCCATAACCCATCTCTTATTATTTTTAGCCCCTGTTTTGTGCCTTTAATGCAGCTGTTGACACCATTTTAAAGGTTTTTATTTTAGGCAATTTTAAGGTTCTGATTTAAGTTCTTGATTATGTGGAAGTATGTTTCATGATGTCAGTGATACTATAATCTGTTATCTTTTAACTATTAACAGTGCCAGTGTTACAATGGTCTACTGCTCTCCACAGAGAGCACGGTTGCTGTATATGGCATGCTGAACTTGGTGCCAGAAGGAAAACAGGTATGTGATCTTCACCACTACTGGGTATTGCTTTCTGGCTATATTTTGTATTGTGATTTAAAATGCCTTTTAGGCTAATGTCAAGGTATTTAGTGCAGTTTGTTACTCTTCTCTTGAAGTCCATAGTAGCACTTACATTCAAGAGGCACAACTGATTTTTATTACCTAAAAAGTAAACAAATGCAAATATACATTTTTATTTTGTCAAATATGAATATGATTTTGAACAGGCCATGCATCCACAGTAACCATATTGTTACTATTTTGGGAAGCATTAAATCTGTCTGAAAGTGCATGCTTGGAGGTTTTAAAGGCAGGCGGTGAATCCAAACAATTATTATAAATCTGTATTAAATGGTGTTTACTTCCACCAATATTCTGCAGTGAATTAATTCTCAAGTTGTTCTTTGTCCTGTTTGTAGGCTCCTGGAGGCCATGAACTGACCTGTGATTACTGGGAGCTCATCGGTTTGGCTCCTGCTGGTGGTGCTGACAACCTTCTTAATGAAGAGTCTGATGTCGATGTTCAGCTTAACAACCGTCACATGATGATCAGGGGGGAAAACATGTCTAAAATCTTCAAAGTGCGCTCTACTGTCATCAACTGTTTCAGAAGTCATTTCTTTGATCGTGGCTATTATGAGGCAAGTTTATTTATTTTTTTAAATTTCTCTCATTTGAGCAATGTTTGTCCTTGTGTTACTGATATAATCCTAGAAAATTAACTTTACCCAATAAATAGCAATAGTAAAAGATTGCAACCAAGTGCCCCTACAGTGCAACTTTTTCTAACAAGTACAATTAACATCTCAATCCAGTATTTCACTTTCTCAATATACACCACCCATAAATTCCACTTTTTAAACTTATTTAATTTTATTACATTTTTCATCAGGAAAAGAAAGACTCTTACAATAGTATTGGGTACAACTGGTATGTACATGACACAAGGAAGATAAAATAAGAGGCAGAAAAAGTGAATTAAGTTAAAAGGAAAGGGAGCTACCCACACTGTACATAGTTACATTCCTTGTGTATACCCTACTAATCAACTGCATACAAGGCTTGCAGGTCGCAAAAGGACCATATAAGATATCCACAGTTCACTTGTTTAGTTGCACCGTTTGTGAACTTCCAGAGGCACAACAACTACTACAATCCAAATTTAATAGATGCACGCATACACCTTCCATTTCACCCACACAAAACAAAAAATAAATAAACCGCAGGCAGGCATAGCCCGTGTCTGAGTGGCGCAGGATACTGCAGATTGGAAAACAAAGGCACCATAACGGAGACCGACCCAAGGGGAGGTGGTCAGAGTTTAGGAAGTACGGCCTAATGTTGTGATACTGATGTCCTTCTGTATGTTTATTACTATGATGTATCTTAAGTTGTATCCGCAGCAGCGCACAATGTACCATTACCTTTTTGTCTCCCCCTTTCCTTTTCATTTCTGCACCCTATTAACACGTTTTAAAATCCAATAAAATGTCTCTTTGGAAAAAGTTAAAAGGGAAGACTGATCAGGATACATGAAAATTAGGTTAGTGAAGCTAAAGACAACCTCTGTTCAATTTAAAGGTAACAATACAATGTTCTGAATTTTTGGCATAGTCCAAGAAAAGGGCCACAGATGTTCAGAAAAGATGGATGGGTGTGAGTTGATGAGAATATGGGCCTTGTGGTCCGTTCGCCCAGTCTGGGCCAAGCTACGTGAGACCAGTGGAACTGTAGGTAATTCAGAGAACTTCCACATTTCATAAATACAGTGTTTTTTTCCAGCAATAGGAATATGCAAGTTGCAAGATATTTGACCTGCCCTAGCCATGGTAATAAACCTTAAAAAGGTCTCCTGTGGACATGGACAATCACTCATATAGCCTCTGTAAGAAGTGTAAGCATGGATTGCCAGAAGAGGACTAAAAAGGTCAAGAAACCTTAGTCCTTATGCCCACAGGCAGCAGCAGACCAGGAACAGCCCACAAATCTACACTTCTTATAATATAGGCTCAATGAGAAAATGCCCAATATATGCTATCCCTCGTTATCTCTGTCTGAACTAATTCTGTTCCACTTTTTTGATCATAAACGATTTTGGGAAGGTCACTAACCATGTCCAGCAATGTGTTTTCAGAGCTGGAAAGCAGTGGTTTATCCATAAAACCATTAATGCTGACCTTATGGATGGGAGTGGTGTGTAATTTTTTTTGTGGAATGCAAATCTGTAAATAGAGTAAGTAACCAGAGAAAAGCAAACCTTTTTGTTTGTTTTGTTATGATTAGATACGTTGTTGCTGATCATTAACATGAACCTTGAAATTAGGTCTGTTTCATACATGAAAGTACACTGAAGTAATTGACTAATGCGGTTTCCAAGATAATCTATGAATTTTACTTTCTTGGTTAACCAGCTGTGCTCTGTCTCTAATGTCCAATTAGAAAGTACCTAAACCTGTATACACCTTTTAGATGTTTTCTGCAGTTGTGCACAAACCTGAAATTAGGTTTCTCGATTGTATGTTTTTTGTTTTTACCATTTTTCACTGCTGAATTGTACAGGACCCATGATACAGGAATCCTCTGTCTCTTCTAAAACAAATTTAAAAGATATTGTAATTTGAGCACACAAGCTACAATAGCTTTGTTCACCTGTGCTCAGACTTCGAAACCCCTTAGATCTTGGGTGTCTAACTGTAGCCCTCCACCTGTTTAGGGGCTTTTAATTTACATAATTTAACATTGGCTTATGTGGGTCACAGTCCAACAGCATCTTGATTTCCACACTTGGTCACTTTTCTACAAATATAGCTAAGGTACTCTTAGCAGTCGATCTATTCTTCTGTCATAGTTTTAAGTCATGGTATTTTAGATAACTGCATTAGTAGTCCTTGATTGATTAATCAGTAACGAGAGCTAGACATTAAAAAAAATTTCTTACAAATTGCAATCCATTGGTTTCTGGTTTACTTCAGTGTCACAAGGATGTAATTTCAGTTGTTTTGAAAGATGCACATTATATATTTTTTTACTGTTCCCCTATACACTGCTTTATGTAACTGTGTCATTGTCTATTTTCATAGGTTACGCCGCCAACATTGGTCCAAACACAAGTGGAAGGTGGCTCAACTCTCTTTAAGCTGGATTACTTTGGAGAAGAGGCCTTCTTAACACAATCATCTCAACTGTATCTTGAAACCTGCATTCCAGCTCTGGGCGACACCTTCTGTATTGCTCAGTCCTATCGCGCAGAACAGTCTAGAACACGCAGACATCTTGCTGAGTAAGAGTTCTATCCACCATGATTTTATTCCGCTGTACAGTAGGCCCATATAATCAGTTTTGGTATTTTTCTATGCTGTCTACATCAGTAGGGTTTCAGTACGAACCCAGCCATAACAGTGTAATAATAAAAAAAAAAAAAATATATATATATATATATATATATATATATATATATATATTATTATTTTTTTAAAGGGACTATCGGTTTGGTGCTGACCTCCCTGTTTTAATGTCTTGTGTGTATTATAAACATTTAAGATATTCCAGTTTGAATTTTCCTTGGTTGTAGTCAATCTGCAGCTTCTGCGTAGACCAGGAAATTGCTAACATTGTTTTAAAGTTTTGCGCAAATCCCATATTCTTTGCTTGAGTAAAAAAACAAAGAAAACCTAGACATCTGTATATCCAGTCATCTTTGGTCTTTGTTGTCAAGCTGCTTAGCAGTAGTAGAGTAATTTTCTGTTAAATTATGTCATATTGAAAACAAAACGTAAATTAAAATTTTATTCACACATCACAAATAATGGTTTGGCAAATTTATATTTTTCAAATGTGTTTTTTTTTTTTTTTTTCCTTATATTTAGATATACGCACATAGAAGCCGAATGTCCCTTCATGACATATGAGGATTTGCTTGATCGCCTCGAGGACTTGGTGTGCGATGTGGTTGACAGAGTGTTAAAGTCTCCTGTAGCCAGCTTGATCTATGACCTGCATCCGGTATGCTACCGCCGTCTTCACTTGCTTTCTGGGTGAAGTTACAGGGCCACTTAAGGCACAAAAATGCATTTAAAGGACAGCTGACACCTCAAAACTATTTTTAATATAATAATCCTTTCATCAATTATTGAAATAAAAAAATTTTTTTCTCATCCCTACCTTTAGTATATGATAGGAGCCTTCAGCCATGTACATGCACCTTAGGTCAGATAGTTTTTGAAAACCCACAGTTAGTCCATATGGTCATCCCTGCTCCACCCCCTGCTCAGAATCAAGGAAAACTTTAGAGGCTGTTTTTTGTTTTGTTTTTTATTTATTTATTTTTTTACACTGTCTCACCTAAGGTGCATATATATGGCTGAATGATCTTGTCATATACTAAAGCTGAGTTTATCATTTTTGTACATATACTTTGTTAAAAAAATATATATATTTTTCCATTCAAAAGGTTGTTATATTAAAGGGACACTATAGTCACCAAAACAACTTTAGCTTAAGGAAGCCGTATTAGTGTATAGATCCTGCAGTCTCACTGCTCAAATCTCTGCAATTTAGTAGTTGAATCGCTTTTGTTTCTGTCCATGCTGCCCTAGTCACACTTCCCCTGGTTTTGACTCACACACCATGCATAAAAAAAAAGTTTCACTTTCAATTAGATATAACTTACTTTAAAAATATTGCCTGCTCTCTAAAGTAAACTTTAATCATACACATAAGGATTCTGTGGAGTCTAGCAAGCTATCAATAGTGCAGGGGATAATACATTTTACATTAAATAGAATTTGCAATGAAGTAAGTATAAACATTAGCGGACTCTTTACAGGAAGTGTTTAGGAATTCTGTGCAAGTCACATGCAGGGAGGTGTGACTCGGTTGCATAAATTAAAGTGATTTAACTCCTAGATGGCAGAGAATTGAGCAGTGACACTGCAGGGAAATGATCTATACACCAAAACTGCTTCAATAAGCTAAAGTTGTTTTGGTGACTATAGTGTCCCTTTAAAAAAAATAGTTTTGAGGTGACCATTGTTCTTTAAAATAGCACTGTGGAAAGAAACAAAAAAATCATATAAGGCAAAATATTTGCAACCTTACTCTTCCCTCTTTAGGAAGCTGTTGTGCAAAAAAATCTGCAGCATTGTGTTTGCACTTATGAACAAGAAATCTATTTTATTTATTTATTTATTGGGTATTCAAGTGAATTACACAAGCCTGCACAATAGAATTGTAATAACATTTCCTTTCGTTTTGGGGGGGAAATGAGAGCTGAAAAGCAGTCTGGGGCAGCTTCCATTCCCATAGCGAGAGATTCTCAGCTTGGTTTTTCAAGTGGATGAGAGGTTGTTCAAAGCTTTATCACACTGGGTTTTCTCAAAATGAACTGCTTGATTATACTGAAAATGACAGAAAATGTATATTTTATGCTGTTCTGTGTTATACAGTTTTAAATACCAATTTAAATAAAGCATAAAAGAGGGCAGAAGAACTTCCATTTATTGCTGAGTATTTGGTTTTGTCAAACCTAGTGTGCGATCTGGGAAAAAGAAATCTGTGGGGGGTTTTTCTTCTTTTTTTTCTTCTGGTTTTTCTATCTGTTCTTTTGTTTTCAAAGCTATAACTCATTATGAATAACACTTTAAATTACCAAAAGATGACAAGGCTATTGACATCCAAAATCTTAACACATGAAATGTCACTGCAGGAATTCAAGCCACCTAAACGTCCCTTCAGGAGAATGAACTATACGGAGGCCATTGCCTGGTTAAAGGAGCACGATGTTAAGAAAGATGATGGTACTTTCTATGAGTTTGGAGAGGTAATATTTACTTTTTATTTGTTTTTCTGCAGGCAGTATCTGTGTCTCAAATATATTCTGACGTGAATCTTTTAATTTTCTTCAGTTAACATGCTACTGCAAAAAAGGGGCAATAAGCTTTGGCGCACACAGGCGGTTAGACATTAATGGAAGTTTTAGTAAAGCTAAATTACCCTCGAAACCTGATCAGTATGTGCATGTTTTTTTCTGAGTGGCCTACACCAGAGTTTCTCTATCTTCAAGGTTCACCAGCAGTCCAGGATTTAGACATTTCTCAATTCGTTTCTTATTGAGATCCTGATTAAACTTGAAATATTGCTTGGATTTGAGGGATTAGGTTGGAAACCAGTGACTTTTAACACTGTTAAAATCCACTGATAAATTAAGGCCGCTTTATTTTTACCTTTGGGTGGATCACTGCAGAAACAATCATATAATAGATCCTTTGTATCGGGCTATATAACACAGGGGCAGTTTTTGACAGGTTTTCACTTCCTGCTGTTACTGTACTCTATAAGAATTATTTATTTACATTGTGTTTTAACCAGAAACAATCTTCTTTTAATAGAATGGCCAGGTGAGTGAGTAACGAAGTGTAACAGATATTGTTATTGGCAGTCATTGTTTGCAGGGTGTCTGTTACATCATGTTCCACTATTTCTGTTTATCATTATATAATTGGACATTTCTTTAATTTTCCAGTTATAAATCTTGAACAATGTATAACAGGTACTTTTTTTATTCATCGAGCAACTGCATACTGCCTCTGGCATTTTAAAGGTAGCGCCAAAAATAAATACAGAGGTATATACCAAAAAGGTAAAAACTAATAATAATAAAAAATATAAATAGTCCAAATGAAAATAGAATTGTAAAATTGTAATCAAATACCACTAGTATTGGAACAGCAGGGTCTTGATAGAAGTGGATGACTATTAATGGGGTTCTGGGTCACGTGTGGCTTGGAGTCCAAGCGTACAAATGTAGTGAGAACAGAAGAAAGGATCCAATGGTACAGTATATCATAAATATAAACTGTACAGATAATGAATAGGTCCTAGTCACATTTACCGGAGCTGCGACCTGCTCTGGTATAAACAGCATAAAGTGGTATTATCCCCACTTCTCGGATATATGTGTAGGAGGAGTTCTCTGCAGTCTCTCAGTGTGGAGTAGTTGGTGGAGCCCAAGGTAGTAAAAAAACAAATGAAAAGGAAAAAAGAATAGTGCTCTCTGTATGTCTAAAATCCAGGAGTAATAAAATATAGGTATTGTACTCACATTTGATCGAGCAGGCTCACTGCTCGATGTATAGGGCGCAGGTAGTATAATCCCCACCCTGGATTCTTGGTGAGATTCTCTCTGGAATCGATGCTCAGGATGCCAGGCAGTAGATAAAAAGTATAAAATAAATAAAAGGAGTATGGCACAGAAGTAGTATAAAAATAGCCAATATTCCTTTATTAGTAAAATAAAATAAATTAAAATCTTCTACAACGCGTTTCACCTTAAAATAGGCTTTATCGAGTAGAATTAGATTGTAAGGTGAAATGTGTTGTAGAAGATTTTATCCTTTCATGTGTGCTGCTCTTCATTTTTACTCTTTGTGGTCTTCTGAGTGCTGATGCTCTGTTTTCTTTTATACCTGTATGCCTTTGGCATTATTGCTTTTGTTTCAGATTCATTTACGACATTTGATTGCATTTCTCAAAATGTATGGGAGTTTTAAAAAAAAATATATATATATGGCACAACCCATAGCTGACTTGTAGTTGGCTGTCAGCTTGTGCATAAATCTCACAAGTCACAGTTCTGCTTCAACTAATACAACAGGCAACCCTTTATATTTTTAATATAATCTAAAATCAGATTTTGTCTATGATTTAGCGGCACAGCCAAGTGCTAGTTTGTAGATTAAGCCATCCGAATCAAATTATATAAAAATTTCTGCATACCTACTGCCAAATTTTCACTTTTCATTCCTTTTCAAACCGTTTATCTCCGCACACTCCAGCTTCCCACACATCTTATAATCCACATTCCATGAAATGCCTGGCTACTCTAGCTCCTCCTGCTTTCTATAACCCACACTACATGTGCAGCCTGCCCACTCCAGTCCCAACTCCTAAAACCTGGTTTCCCATACCTCTTCCAATGTCCACTCCATGAGCGGCATGTTTATTCCCCACACCTTTTGAACACCATGTTTACTTTCCTTTCCTGCTGTATTCTTATACCAGCTCCCTACCACTCTTAAAATCGACTTATCTCCACAGCTCCCATTACATATTACTCTAGGAATATGCTCATTATAATTAAACACTAAGATTAATATTTACAAATGGGTTATGGTGAGGTTGAGAACAAAAACCTTAATTTATGACCATGAATCATAGCAAAGTAAAATCTCCCTCAGTACCTATTATTCTGAAGCCATTAGAATGTTTGTTAGGGAAATGCAACGCTATAAATCCTACAAGCAAATATAAATCGATATGTAATCTGCTTCCTCCACAGGATATCCCTGAAGCCCCAGAGAGACACATGACAGATGCCATCAATGAACCAATCTTGCTTTGCCGATTTCCAGCTGAAATAAAGTCTTTTTACATGCAGCGCTGCCCGGAAGATAAACGTCTTACCGAATCTGTAAGTCATACCCTTTTCTTTGAACACTTTTTTCCTCCAGGCAAACTTTGTTGTCTACATTGCTCTTTGGAAAATAAAAAAAAAAATTGTTTTTGTAAATACATAACAAATTGTTACTAGTGATACTTTGCTGTAAAATTTAAATATTGTTAATCCTTTTCACAAACCCATTTAAACTCTCAATACATGTAAGCATATCAGGATTAGTTTAAATCTTGATTGACCGGCTTAGAACATGAAGGTATATTCCCCAGTACAAGGGATGCCAGGAGGCAAATACCCAGTTGTTGCAGGACTACAGCTCCCATGATTCTTTATAGCTGAACATGGACATATACATTTTCCAGTAAGTGTATGTGTATTGCTACCAGAAAATAACCAGAAGAAGGCAATGCAGGCTTTAGAGTTAATTTAGATATCATTCAGTCAGTTTTATGTCCTTGTCCATCTGTTCTTTTAGTGGTTTGTAATCTACTAGATATAGGGCTGTTTAAAGTTGGTCCCCTCTAAGCAAAGATCCACGATCGTTTTGTTACGTTACTGATGGTTATATCTGTGTGGGAGAAATGGTCATTGCACCAACCTGTGTAACTGAAATGGTTGGCGAGGCAGATGTGATGCTTCAAGAGTATCTACTCAACATTCCAAGGTTTGTGCGTCATAACGGAGTACCATCCAATTAGAGCAGGTTTAAGAGGTTTGTCTGACTGATCTAAGAGCTAGCCCAAAACACAATTTGTTTTATTTTTGTAAAGTGCACTCTTGTGTATGTGTATTATGTTGTTTACATGTGGTTTACGTATCCACTGGATGTCCCTTAGAATTAAGACTGCAATCTTTTTATAACCTCCAAAATTTAAAGCAAACGTCTGTTTTTGTTTTAATGTTTTGTGTTTTCAGGTGGATGTGCTCATGCCCAATGTTGGTGAGATTGTTGGAGGCTCCATGCGTATCTGGGATAGTGATGAGTTGTTGGAAGGTTACAAGAGAGAAGGAATTGATCCAACACCTTATTACTGGTACACAGACCAGGTATGGCCACTGTATTTGCAAAACTGTAGATTTTTACTTTCATGAATAGTGTGGATTAAGCATCCTGTCAAGTAGTGATGGTAAATATTAAATGTGTGTCCTAAACACAAAAGTAAAAATAACCTTTCCCTTTTTTCTTTTTTCTTTTTGTCCTTTGTGGGCAATCCTATATAAATTCCAAAACATTCTCAAAGTATTTCTTAAAGAACACAGATTTAGAACATAACTACATTTAAAAAAACTGTATCCTTAATGATTGGATTGCAAGTTATTATAGAGACAAAAAAAACGCAGTAATCCTCCATGTTTATAATGCGTTGGATATAGAATGCATTAAACATTTTATACAAAAGAAAAAGTAAAAAAAAAAAAGTAATAACAAAAAAAACCCTCACCTTTACATATCTCTAAAATGTGGTATATGTAGTTTGTCCCTGCCCCACTCATCACATAGAATTAAGTAGGATTGCTCCGTAAGCTGGTCACAGCCAAGTGGCAGCTGCTGTTGGTTCAATCATAGCATAGTATACAGCTTGGTAAACTGGGTTGTGTGAAGTGATCACTGATCTGCTGTGACTCCAAATACAGATGCGTGATTTTCAGGCTCTCTGTAATTGTCCTAGTGCATGTGGCGTGTACATATTGAATGCATTTTGGACAACAAAGAAAGAAGTAAAATGTCATCCTTTGACGTCTGGATTAATAGAGGAGGGATTGTATCTGTCAATTTTTGCAAATCACTGCCACAGCATAACCATTTAGGATCTCTAGATACTTAACCTTGTGAGTTAAGGTTAAATGACTGTCACTTTGAGGTTCTTTTTTTTATGTGATGATAGGATCAAAAGAAATGCAAACATTACCACAAGTGACAGTGCTTCTTTAACTAGGGAGAGGGGAACACAAATATTTGGGAATATAAAGATGTAGTAATGTGTTCTAGTAATTTACCTTAAACTGTTTAATAACTAGGATGATCAACTCTTTTCCAGTATGGATATTTATGTGCATGTCCAGTTCCTAATACTGATGCTTTACTCCCATTCCTTGTTCCACAGCGTAAATATGGCACATGTCCACATGGTGGCTACGGCCTGGGCCTGGAACGCTTCCTCACCTGGATCCTGAACAGACACCACATCCGAGATGTATGTCTGTATCCACGATTCGTCCAGCGCTGCAAACCCTAACTACCTCTACTGGAAATCCTACACTGATTCATTGGTGTATAGGCTTCTGCTCGTGCTGTCTACGTGTTCTGTGAAGATTACATTTTAAAAAAGATTTACCATCAGGCTGCTATAATCATGTAATTTGGTAAACTTTATTTTCCAACCTTGTTCTTGTGGTAACCAAGATTTCAGTCCCAAAACATCCAATAATAATTTTTTCTGCATTTTCTAAACATATACACGTGGGATCAACATCTGAAATCTGCTACCCCACTCTGAACCTAGCCATTTATTTACTGAGTATACTATACTGGGCCACAAACACCATATGTAGAGTGTTTCAGAGCGTAAAGTTATTCATAAAACACACCTTCAAATAAAGAAAGATTCTTAAACAACTTTGTTCCTTGTTTGCTGTATAGATCAATACTTGAGCAGTATATTTTCTACAAAATGTTTTAACAAGGCCATTAATTCATGTCACCTGCACTTAATCCTTTGTGGTGGCCCCTTTCATGGCAAGGTAGTAAAAATGCATGGAGTATACTCCATTTACAAAGAAATTAAGCACTGTTTATTGCAAATATGAAACACTGTGAGTTGAGTATTAATAACACACACTCTGGCATTAATCATTGTACTAAAATCTCTATAAGGGAACCTTGTTTCGCTAGTTATTCAAAACTATTCATTCACATGGGACCCAAATGAAACTGAAGCTGTGAAACTAGACTAAATATATTTTTTCTCAATCCATTTGGTTTTTATATCTATTTTGAATTTCTTTCTAAAATATTGCATGTTGAAGGTACCACTGCGTAATTAGCGGAGCTCTAGAATCTGGTTATAAAAATACATTTAGCTGGAGATCAGATTGTGTAATTAATTGTGTTCTGCTCAAATGTTTTTTGCTTTATTTTGTTTATAATTTATGGGTTTGGATTTTTATTTCTACAAATTAATTTTTGTTCTTCATTCACTTTCAAAGAATAGTCTTCGTATTCAATATTTTTTTTTTTATATATTTTTTTTTGTAGAATTAAAAAGTAAATTCTTTATTTAAGAAACACAGCCAAATATACGTGCATAAAGTGAAGCTATTGCAATACTACATTCTTATGATCACTCCAAAGCACCCAACTAAACTGTAATATCTGTTATCCGTTGGCCCCCTGTCTTACTATAAATTGATATCATTTTATTTTAAATAATAACCCCACACCAACACACACAAAATTCTCCCCATGAGGCATTAATCCATGTATACATCGTTATTTTTACAATGATCCCTCCTTGGTTCCCATACTTTAAAGAATGAGTCCATGGGGTTTCTAACCTTAATTATTAATTCATTAGACAGTTATCCTTCAATTTCTTTGCTACATCACTGATTGGAATGGTTCTATCAGCAGCCAGCTTGCTACTAATGCTCATGTGTCCTTAAGGGGTTAAAGCAGAATAGTCTAATGCCAAAACCAAAAAAACCTTTAGATACTGGCAGTCAGTACTGTGTAACGGTGGGTTAAAATGTCAGTGTGAACCCTCCATAACATGTCCTTTACAATATAATATATTTGAATACAACACTGCACTCATTAGAAAATCTTAACTTTTTAAAAGAACAGAAACGCATGTATTTTTAAAGTTAGAGCATTCCTGGTGGTATTAGATTTTTATCACTTTCGAAAGTAAAAAAAATAAATAAAAAAAATGTAAATTTGCCTCTATTCCACCGGGATCTCATTCTCACAGTAGCCTACCCTCTGTCTACTTTTGAGATCATCTTGAGGGATAATCTTTGCCAGTTAAAATCTTTTCCATAGAGAAATTTTGAGGATCCTGCTGCACATGTGTGGCAACCTAGATAGGCTCAAATTGCAAGATGTGACACGGGTAGCCTTGGACTAAATCCCAAGGCTGATGTGTTTCGGTAATGAACTATGAATAACGAACAAAAGAGACCGAGGTAGAACAAAGGGCAGACTCCCCACATGGGAGAGAGCAAGGAAAAAAGAAAAGCCAGATGAAAATTCAAAGAGCAAAGAATAAGAGTGATAATGGGACAGGAAGAGGGCTACTAACCCCCTCCACATCCCCAGAAACTGCCCCCCCATTTCCAAGGAGTCCTTAATCTAGGAGGGGCTAAGTGCAGTGACAAAGCTCCTGTCTCTGGTATAGTGAGGCCATCATCTCCTCTGGTTCTAATTTCCATATATATATATATATATATATATATATATAATAAACTATATATAAAATCTGTGGATTTTAGGCGCTCGTCTGGTTGTGTATTTTTCTCTTGGCCATTTGGTTGTGGTTAACAGTAAAAAGGGAGAGGAGAATACAGAAATAGGAAACTGTAATGTTTGGTCTGGGCTTTAAAACAAATTGTCGCCTGGTAGTTGAGGGTTTTGCTTTGTCCCTAACCAGAGGGGACGTCGGGGAGGGGGAGAAGAGTAGTTGGCCGTCAGGAGGCCCTGTTATGTTCGTCGCTATGGTATGGGCTATGATGGCACAGACTTTTCCTGGGGAATCTGTCAGGTCAGTGCAGTAGGAATAGAAGTAGGGGTGCTCAATATGAAGGTTGGGTCTAGGGGGCGCTAGGGTCTTAATCTGCGGCTGAGGTGTGATTCCCTATGTCACTGCTCCTTGTCCATGTCGTGGGACGAAAGGGGTGACATTGTCCACATCCCATGTCCCGTTGGTATCTTGGGAACTCTGCGTGTCTCTGATGCCAAGCGCTGCCAGGAATGTGTTGGTCTCTGCCGCGTCAGTGGCCTTGAACTGGTTGCCGCCTTTGATGACTGTGAGGGATCTATGGGTAGTCCCTCTATATGTTATTCCTGCTTTCAGCCGTTGGGTGATGGGTTGCATTGTTTTTCTCCACAGTAGAGTGGTGCGTTGAAGGTCTTGGAAGATTGAGATCTTGTGAATCAGTCCATAGGCGATTTATTAGGGATTGCTCTCAGCAAGGCTTTTTTGTCTTGTCTTGTTCCGCATCTCAGTATAATGTCCCTAGGTGCTAAGAGCGGCGCCCTAGGGGATTTTGCGGTACGGTATGCGCCGTCATGTGCGAATTGCTTTGCTGGGAGTAGTGTAGTTACTAGTCGCCTTATGAAGTGCGGTAATTCTTCCGTTGTCACTGTGTCTGCGACCCCCCCTGATCTTTATGTTCTTCTGACGGGATCTTTCATCCAGCATATCTAATCTAAGAGACATGTTTGAGTGTTGCTCTTGTAGTTTCGTTACGGAGTCTTTCACTGCTGCTAGGTTGCTTTGCAGGTCAACTATGTTTGTGTTAGACGCCTGGACGCGGGTGGTTGACCGCCCGTACCTCAGTCCACACTGCGGCTATGTCCGCGGCGAAAAGTTTTTGGATTCTATCAAAGAGGTTATCAGTGTCCTGTTTTGTTGTTGGTTCTATGTTGGCTGGGATTTGTGGGGTTCGGAGCCCCCCTATGGGTGATCCCTGTGTGTCTACACTCACCCCTTCCTTCTCCTCTTCCCCTGGCTCGGCCTGCACCTGCTCTCTGGGCTTAGGTGTGCATTGGAGCAGCTTGCCGATTCCTGTGCATCTTGGGGCACGGATGCCTGAGATTTATGGGACTTTTTGCCCATCTCCTCCGGCTCTGGTGTCTGTGCTTGCCGTCGACTGGGTGTGAGCCAGTCTGTGTCCCACCAAGCCGCGGCTGCATGCTGTGTGTATCTCTGGCAGGCCGCTTAGGCAAAATTGGAAGTGCCTCAAACTGTTTTTTTTGCCTTCTTTTGGATTTACAGCAAAAAACAAATATGAGGAAGGTTGAACTTGATGGACACATGTCTCTTTTCAGCCTATGTAACTATGTAATTTTATTCCACTTTATTTTGACACTGCTTACCTGAGTCCCTTTTAATGTTCCAATAAATATGTTTTTATATCCACCTTGGACACATTGGTCTCTTCAAAGTCTACCCCGAAGCCTGTATAGGCACCCTGGAGCTTCTGCTATAGAGCCTGATATGGCTATTTAGTGTGTGAGTTGCACTCTTTTTGTGTGCTTATATGTTTTTATGTATACAGTAAGAACTATGTGTTCTCTTGTTTGTAACCTTTAGATTGCTCTGTTCAACTTGATTTCAACACCTTGTATTAGGTATTCGTGTGTGCTACCATTTTTGGTGTGTATTAATTATTTTAAACTATTAACTGAACTCCTGACTTCCTCTGTCAGAATGCTTAAAATGGGCCGTGGTTGGATCTTCTATCAGGACAATGATCCAAAATGTACACCAAAATCAACACCATAATGATTTACAGACCACAAAAGCAAGGCCATTCCAGTCCCGTGACTTGAACCCCACAGAAAACCTGTGGGGAGAACTGAAGAGCAGAGTCCATCAGCGTCAATCTCTAAATTTGAAGGATCTGGAGAGATTCTGTATGTAGGAATGGTCTCAGATTCCTTGCCATCTATTCTCCAACCTCATCAGGCATTATAGGAGAAAATTCAGAGCAGTTATCTTGACAAAGGGAGTTAGCACAAAGTATTGACTAAAAGGGTGCCGATAATTGTGGCACACATATATTTCACAAAGATGTTTTTAAAAAAAAAACCTGTGTTGTGTTTGTTATCCATGAAAGCGGCGTATATATATATATATATATATATATATATATATATATATATATATATATATATATATATATATTTTATTTATTTATTTTTTGCTTTTTAAATGTACAAAAAAAAAACAAGCAAGTATCAGACAAGTATGTATGTATGATCAAGGGTACAAAATCTGACATCCAGATCAAACCTAACAATCTCAGCACTATTATTATGCCTGTCAGATATTGATATATATGCTTAAAATCAAAGATACTTCCACAAACATAACAAACAAAAACCAAGGACATACAAAAAAATAAATAAATACATAATTAAACAATGGTCACTCTTCAGGGATAAAATTGATAATCAATATCAAAAGATAGATCTCTCCAATACATACCCTGTATTTATATACCATAGTTTTTAATTTGGGATTTTAGAAGCAAGATCTTATTGTGGAGAGAGAGAGATTTTGTATATTTTTTTTAACAAAAGATCAAATCGTAAAGATTTTTTCACAGCCGTCTTTGCTCAAATTTAACAAACGTGGCAATATTAGCGAAGGGCATTGTACCTCTTGGTACTTATAAATGCATGTTTATTGTACATGCTTTGGGATGCAAAACCTTTAATTCTGTTCAAATGGAAGCATATCTCCCACAATCTCACAGTGTTGTAGTGCTGTTAAAACAATATTTGGCAATTTATAAGAAAGATGTTCTATTGGGAAACACTTTCACAAATTTATTTTTATATGGAACCCCTGACTCTCCTACATACAGTCCATTAGGATCTATGTCAGTGAATAAAATATTGATTGATCTATTTCTGTATTTTATGATGCACACCATTTTCTTTTAGACTTACATTAAAGGAACACTATCGTGTTCCCTGTCCCTAACTTAATAGTTCCCCTCACCTCCGGTCTTTCCTTTGCCGAGGCTACCCCAGAGCTGGCTAAGTCTCCTCCTCATGTGACATCAGGGCGATTATAGACATAATGCGCATGTGTGCATATAAAAGCTTCCCCATCAGAATCTTTTTTTTTTTTTAATTCTTTTTTTTTTCTTTTTGGTGCAACATTTTGATTTTTACAGACCGTTAAAAAGTCGAGGTTCTGTGTCGTTCGTGGTTTGCAC